TTTAGGGTTTAGGGTTTAGGAGGCAGAGGGTTTGGTGCTTTTGGTCAAGGGCTTCGGGCTCGGAGAGGCGTCGTGAAAAGGTTGGGGTCGAGGGGCTCGTGGAGGTCTGCTCTCTCGATGTGGCTTATGAGGGTCCTAAACCCTAAACCCTAAACCCTAAGGCCCTAAACCCTAAACCGCAGAGTTGTGGAGTGGTTGTTAAGTAGGTTCAACCTCGCTTCAGCTGTCTTGCACAGCATGGTTCCGAACTGAGATCTGTATGCCTTGGTTTGGGGTCTAGCACCAAGCCTCCGAGACTCAGCAGCAACCAGCGGGCCAACATGATTCCTATACAGTCTTGCCGAAAGCTCCGATTCGGCTCAGGATTGCGGCTGAGTTAGATCTGGATATGCCTTGCGTATGCTTAGAAGAAGCTTGTCAGAATGTAGACCCCTCATTAGTCTCCTTTCTCCTTTCGTGAGGATGATCATAGGGATCTTAGTTTTCACTCCCCTGAAAGACACGGGGTTTGTCAATCAGAGGTATTCTACCTGGCATGATGGATAGAGCTCTCTATTGCGAGGCGGACCCAGGTCTTGACGCAGATGCTCCGCTCCTCTTCCGACCCCCCCATTATCCTTACTGCAGCCGACAACATACTTCAAGCCCTCCGAACTGTTCATCGTAAGCCCTAAACCAACCCCAAGCCCCAAACCCTAAACCCTAAGCCCCAAACCCTAAGCCTTAAATTCCGGAGCCCACAACCCTCAAATGCGAAGCGTGCGTGCCAGGCAAGGGGACCCTGTGGAGCCCTGTGAGCCCAAGAGGGCTGAGAAGACGGACGACGAGGTTTGGGGTTTAGGGTTTAGGGCCGGGCTGAGCGTCTTTGCAAGTTTTTAGGGCTTTAGTTCCTCTTCCGCTCCGACCCCATTTAAGGCTTCAAGGTTGCTAACCTAAGGGGTTATTTAGGGTTCAGGGTTTAGGGTTTAGGGGTTTAGGGTTTAGGGGTTTAGGGTTTAGGGTTTAGGGTGCTTCTCTGGGTAGCCTCGCCTCAAGAGTCCGCCTTTAACGTGAGATCCGGGCACCGACCGCCCTAAACCCTAAGCCCTCGAATGGGGCTCACGGATTCCGATGAAGTATGTGCTGTAAGGTCAAGGGTTTTCCGGCTCAGCGGGTTGGGTGGAACTAAACAGGAGTTGGAAAGTCACCAATAATTTTCCGTTCATAGTTACCATGTAGTATGCCATACAGCTATGTAGAAATCATAGCAGAATCTACCGCAAAGCCGTATTCTAGTGAAGAAGGCCCTTACATTAGGCTGGTTGGGTTTTTGCAAGTTTTACTCTGTGGACCTGCCTTTGACGACCCTTGATACCTTAAAAACACTTACGAAGCAAAGAGGTTTACACCCTAAACCCTAACCCTCAAAAAATCCCTTTGTGCTGCAAGACCTTGAAACCTGCCCCCCCCTCCCCTTTCGAAGGCCAACTACAAGCCACTCCAAGCCCGTTGGTTGGCGAGTAGACCTCAAATCATGCTACGGTTGTAAACCCTAAGCCCTAAACCCTTAAACCCCAAACCCTAAACCCGTAAACCCGTAAACCCTAAACCTAAACCCCTAAACCCCTAAACCCTAAACCCTAAACCCTAAACCCTAAACCCCTACATCCTAAACCCCAAAACCCCTAAACCCCTAAGCTGCAACTTAAGGGCTCTTCCTCTCCCTGCGCTGCTCGCGCGGAGCAGGTTCAGGATGCCGCAACGAAGCGGAGGCTGCAGATCGAGGAGCAGCAAAGGCCTCCTGCGGGCTTCGGGTCCAGGGGTTTGGGTTTAGGGTTTGGGGTTTAGGGTATAGGGTTTAGGGCTTTGAGTTTAGGGCTTCGGGTTCAGGGTTTGGGGTTTAAGGTATAGGGTTAAGGTCTAGGGTTTAGGGCTTAGGGCTTTGAGTTTCGGGTTTAGGGGTTGGGGATTTAGGGTTTGGGGTTTAGGGTTGAGGGCTTAGAGTTTAGGGTTTTGGGGTTTTGGGGTTTAGGGTTTAGGGTTTAGGGGTTATCAGAGGATCAGGAAGGGCCTCCCTGGGACTTTGGCATTTGTTCTTCTCAGTTTGGAGCCAGGGCTCTGGGGTTCAAGGGATTCTGTGGGTTTTTACTAAAAAATTATGAAACATATATGAAATAACATAAAAAATAATATGAAAAATATAAGAAATAACATAAAAATAATATGAACAATACAAGAAATAACATAAAAAATAATGATTAGATTTTCGGGGGTTGGGATTCAGGCTGTGGCTTGCCGGCCCCTGGCTCCAAGCTGAGGGGACCGGACTTGAAAGGCTAGGAGCCTGAGTCCTTCTGTACCCTCTTACGCTGGGTCTCCTTTTTTTGAACCCTAGGGCCCTAAGCCCTGAACCCTAAGACAAGCGGACGGAAAAAGGCGTTCAACAAAAACCCCTGAACCCTAAACCCTAAACCCTAAACCCTAAACCCTAAACCCCAAACCCTAAACTTTAAACATCCCTCAACCCAGGGACTGAAAGAAAGGAGACGGGTTACACTTCATGTCTTGGCGATTCGTTGGAAGACTTGAAACTTCAGGCGTCGCCAGTCCAGGGCTCTCAGGAAAAAGAAGGAGAGGATACCGTCGGCTTCATATATCCGGATTATTGTAGCTTTCGTTTAGGGTTTAGGGTTTAGGGTTTAGGGGAGCTTCTGTGAGCTTCTCTCCAAAAAATCCTAACCCCCGCAGTAGTCCTCCAAGGGTTTAGGGCTTTGGGGCTTTAGGGTTTTGGGGCTTAGGGTCGTGAACGTCCACCAACCCTGGTCTCTCTAGGGTTTAGGGTTTAGGGTGGAGGGTTTAGGGTTTTGGGGTTTAAGGGTTTAGGGCTTTGGGGTTGAAGGGTTTAGGGTTTGCGGGGGGGGTTTAGGCTCCAGGGTTTAGGGTGCAGGGCCTTGGCTGCAAGAGCCATGCTTGCAGGAAGCGCAAGGAAGAAGAAGAGAGGCAGGTGTCAGCTTGGCCGTTGCATGCTCCCACCAAACAGGGTACAGATTCATTTAGAGACCAACTATAATCACGGTATACTGCACGCCAATATCCCCATTTCGCATTGATGAGGACGTATCTGCCTCTTGAGACATCGAACTTCGAAGGTTCACCCAAGAGGATCACCTCTGGCATTGAAATGATCGCCTGGGCACCAATGACGCTAGGGTTTCGGACATGCGAATTGAATTAAACCCTAAACCCTAACCCCCCCAAATAAACCTTAAACCCTAAACCCTAAACTGTGGTTGCCTTTGATGCCGCACGATTGAGCTTGTGATCAGGCGAAGGAAGCAGTCTGCGAACTCGGACGTTGACAAAGCTGTTTCTGGAAACGAGACCTACGAGGAACGCCGTTAAGATGACGTGGGGGTTTAGGGTTTAGGGTGTAGGATCTTTACTAGGATTTTGGTGAAAGTATGCAGAGCTCCTTTTGAAGCTTGGGAAGTCTCTACTTTAGGTTTTATTGCGGAGACGCGGGATACTAGCAAGCGTGACGATTTCGCACAGGCTTGCTGACGAAGATGCAGCTTCTTGGTCTATAAGTCCGAGGGCTATCATCGAAAAACGTCCGCCAGTGTCAGGATTTAGGACTTAGAGTTAAATATCAGCGGTTCTGGAAGCCCACAACCCCTCATCACAACTTGGCGTCCTGCAGGCAGCGTTTACTTCCGTAGTGGATCAACACAGACGTACGGGAAGGGCTACGCAACTTGCTTATGGTCCACAGGCAAAGGTACTGTTGTGGAGCCTGAGACATTGACCTGGAAGACATCACATATCCCTGAAAAGCCAAAAGCTTCACAGCTCCGAAGCTTTACCCGATCGCCTTTGCTTCCAGGAGAAGAAACTGCGGCTCATGGCCCTTGCCCGAAAGAAGCGTGAGGAAGTGGCGGCCACAGCCAAATCCAGGCGCCTCCGACCGGACATCTCCTTGACTTTGTTCTATGACTTCCTAAACCCTAAACCCTAAGCCAAAACCCCAAACCACAAGCTTAGGCCCCCAAAGTTTATTTTAGTGCTCATGCTGGGGGCGAGCTGCAAACCACTGAGCCTGGAGTGCTGGAACCGTTGTCGCACTGGTGGATCACTGAGACGGGCCCGTTTCCAGTAATTACCAGTAGGTCAGGTCCTAAAATGTTCGGGCCTCTGCCCGATAGATCCCGAAAGTTCAGTTGCTGTTCATGAAGATGGTCTTCCGGGCTTTTCAGCCGCTGCTCAAAACCCTCATCCCTAAACTCTAAACCCTGAAGCCTAAACCCTGAAACCCTTACGCCCTAAACCCTAAAACCCTTAAACGCTTTTTATCCCAAAGCCCAAAAACCCTAAGCCCTCGACGACCTGGACCCCCAGGCTGGCAAAGATGCGCTTCTCCGGCGAAAGCGATGAGGAGACCAGATCTCCCCCAAGATCTGGGTTACCATAAGGGCTGCTATTTAAGGGTTACCATAAGGGCGGGCTGCTTTTCAAGGGTTACCATAAGGGTGCTTTAGGGTTACCATAAGGGTGCTTTATAAGGGTTGCCATAAGGGCTGCCATAATGGTTACCATTAGGGCTGCTAGAAGGGTTAGCATAAGGCCTGCTGCAAGGGTTACCAATGGGGGTACTCGAAGGGCCACTATGAAGGGTAGCAAAGGGCTACAATGAAGGGTGCCATAAAGGCTTCTTAGGGGTTATAGGGTTCCTGTACCTGCGACCGCCTCTCGCATCGATCTTCGCAGGCTACGGCAAGAGGACATCCCTAAGCCTTAAATCCGAAACCCGAAACCCTAAGCCCTAAACCCTAATAGCCTAAACCCTAAACCCTAAACCCTAAACCCTACACCCTAAACCCTAAACCCAAAAAAAACCCTACACCCAAACCCTAAACCAAAGCCCTAATGCCTGCCGTTTCCGAGCTCTCCGGAACAAGGGGGAGTCCTGGAGCCCAGCCTCTAATATAGGGGCCTTCATAACCAACATAGGGTTTTGGGTTTAGGGTTTAGGGTTTAGGGGAGCCCCCAAAATACTTATATATGTATGTATGTATATATATATATACATATATATATATATATATCTGTACATATGTAGTACACACACCTAGATAAGTCAATAGGTAAATATGTGTGCATGTATGTATATATATACACATGCATATGTATATACATATATATATATATGTATATATATATATGTATGTATATATATATATATATATGTATATATAAATATACACACGAATACACTTTTTAGAACGGCGGCGAGAGGACTCCGACCAGGTCGACGACTTCATGGTGTCTGCTCGGCGGGCAAAGGCCTCCCCAGATCCTTCGATTTTTTGTCCGGGCGGGTGTTAAGGGTTCAGTTTCTTTTTTGTGATTTTTTCTGATGTGTTAGGTTATTTTTGTTCCGGCGGTGACGGCTCATGGTTTTGGGCTCTGGGGTGGCTCTCGATTCTGGGGTCTCGTGGTCGTAATCTCAGTCACGATCGGCCGCGTAAGCATTGGACCTCGAGTGTCGCAGATGCCAGGAGCAGCAGAAGGAAGCCAAGGACATGCTTTACAGGGTTCTTAAACTTCCGCCGGCAGGTAAGGGAACTCGCTTCCAACTGCGATTTGGTGCCCTGTGCTTGACCCTCTCCGGTGTCAGGGATTGCAGTTCGACATTGCAGCTCCTAGATGCCCTTTGCGGTCTAACCGTACTCTACGACATGATTCCGCATGAGGACACGGACAAGACGAAAGAAGTGTCGAAGCCAGCTCGACATGCACAGGCGCCCGGGGGTGAGACTGCAACCGGCCCGGGGATCTTAAGTTACCCTCTGAACCCTAAACCCTAAACCCCTGAAAAACATCTCAAAGCGCCAATTTTTTCAACCCTAATCCCTAAACCCTAACCGTGAACCCTAAACCCTAAACCCTGAACCTTGAACCCTCAACCCTCAACCCTAAACAGGGTTCCTTAAGAGGTGTCTAACCCTAAGCAGGTTGATCTTCGGGCCGCTCGGGTGACTCGGGTGACTGCAACGTTTGGGAGTGTTGTGAGCCCCAGACTTGAAGAACAGACTCATGGTGTAGGGTTCAGGGCTTCGGGTTTAAGCCCTACTCTCATTAACGGTTTTGGGTTGAGGGTTGCGGCTTAAGGACGTAGAGTTTAGGGCTGCTACAATAAAAGGGCGATCAGACTCTTCCTCGCCGGTCTGCGGCCAGGCCTACTCGCAGGCGCCCGTGGTCTCCGATTCTGCTGGGGGCCCCAGCAGATTGCCAGGAGACCTCCATCCGAAACCCTAAACCGTCCCTGAGCCTTGCATCCTGGAGCCCGAAAGCTCATGTTGAGCAGCCTGGCAAAAGCTCCACGAGTTTAGGGTTTAGGGTTTAGGGTTTAGTGGGCTTCAAGATAGGCTCGTGTGTCTGTGCTCAACGTGACTCGTCGCATTCGTCCTCCACCGCATCCTATACTGGTTGATTTCAACGAAGAGAACCTTCCTACAGTGCTTTAGTGGAAAGGCTACGAAAACGCTACAAGAATCTTAGATCCCCGGAACGATGATGAATGGGTTTTGGAGCCTGTGTGTGAGACCTGGTTCCGAGGAAGAAGTCGACGAGGCAAGGCGGCTATCAGGGATCCATCTCCAGGATGGGTTCGTCTGGTCCTATATAGCATTTTCTGAACGAACAAGGCCCCTAAATCCTAAACCCTAAACCCTAAACCCTTAAGCCCTAAACCCTAAACCCCTAAGCCCCTAAACCCCTAAACCTAAAACCCCTAAACCCCTAGGGTTCAGGAAGCAGGGTGGAAGAGCGAGGGTTTTTGAGGATGTAGGTTGCGGAATTTGGGTTGAGGGTTTAGGCGCGAATTGGGGCTTGGGAAATGGGGGTCTCAGAGGGTTTGGGGTTCAGGGTGTGAGAAATGAGGGTTTGGGGTTTAGGGTTTAGGAAAGGAGGGTCTCAGAGGGTTTAGGGTTTAGGGTTGAGGGTCTCAGAGGGTCGGCATCGAAGGCTCTTCCTCATGAGTTTTTTTTGTTTGCATCAGCCTTCAAAACCACCCAAAAATCCCAAAACCGTAAACCCCGGAACCCTAACCCCTAAACCCTAAACCCTAGACCCTTAACCCCATTAACCACAAACCCTCAAGGCTTTAAAACCCTAAGTCTGAACTCCTAAACTGCTAGATCCATGAAGAAGACACTGGCAAACTTCCTTGAGACAGCGGGCTTTAAGAGTTCAGGCTTTAGGGTTTAGTTTTTGAGGAGGTTTGGGATGAAGCGTCCAAGAGTTGGGGGTTGAGGGTTAAGGGTGTAAGGGTTTAGGGTTTAGGGTTTAGGGTTGAAGGGCTTTGGGTTTAAGGGTTGAGGGTTGTCGGCTTCAGGGGTAGAAAATGACATTGCAAGCTTGCCATTCTCCAGCCAGTGTGCCTGTGGTAATGTGCTTGTCAAGACCAAGCGTTCCTATAAATATACCCTAGCATGGTGCAATTTATAGCATACTCTATCTTGGGCAGGCACTATTCTAGACCCTAAACCCTAAACCCTAAACCTTACACGCTAAGCACGCAATTCCCCACATCCGTCACGCAAAAGCGATCAGAGTCGCGGACCCACCAGGTTGGCGTTAGGTCAGTCGATCGTCTCTTGCAACAGCTGCAAGTCCTAAACCCTACTACGGGTTAGGGTTTAGGGTTTAGGGTTTAGGGTTTAGGGTTTAGGGTTTAGGGTTTAGGGTTTAGGGTTTAGGGTCCTCAGCTCGAAACCCTTGCAAGTGGAAAATTGAGAGAGCAGCACAGGTAGATCTTGCAGTGATGTTAGCCTTATAGCAACCGTGCTGCTGGCTTTTGAAAGAAGGCTCCCCCAGAGACGGTCGATTTGCCGGCTGCATCGGCTGGGGGTGCAGAGGCAGGGCTTTTGTTTCGGGTTCAGGGTTCATGTAAGGTTCAGGACATGGGATTCTGGGTTTAGATAGGGTAGACGGATTAGGATTTGGGGTATGGGGTTCAGGGTTAGGGGTTTAGGGTTCAGGGCAGAGGCTCCTTGAATCTAGGCCCTACCAAATGGGTTTCCAGAGGTTCGTGATTTGCACACCTAGAAATCTCAACCCCAATCCCTGAACCCTGCTCTTGATCCAGAGCCAGGGCTCTTTTTTTTTAGTGCAGCTGGGAGCTATTTCACTGTTCATTATCTTGCAGGAGCCAAGCACGGAGTTAGAAGTCGGAGACGACTGCGCACCTTCCGTCGGCGTCTCAGAAGGTTCACTGAAGCCCTTTTTTCCGTGAAGATGTGATTCCAAAATCAGAGCCGAAAGATTCTTCTAAGCATTTAATGCTGCTAGATGACGAAAAACAAAAGGCTACTCGGCTGCGTCCTTTTTCAGAGAGTTTCGTGGCAGTGGGTTCCGAACAGAATGGCTTTCACTTGAATCTCCCCTATTGGGATTTAGGTAGGCTTGCGGCTTGAGGGTGCTTTCGAGGGGGGGGACTATCATCATCACTCGCTATGCTTACATCGGCACGATCCCGGCGTCATCGGAAGTGAGGCTCGAAGCCGTGAGCTACCCTTCCGGAGGCTGTTCGGTGCTACAATCATCAGGGCCGAAGGTTGCAACTGTTAAGAAGGAGGTGCACTCATCCTAAGTAGCTTCAGCAAGGTTTCAACCGATGAAAACCCGTGATTGGAACACTGGTACTGCAAGGCATGTCGCATTTCTGGCAGAACTCCGCACTCATTCGTTTCGACCATTTCAAGGCGTGTCCGCCCTCTTCCTCTTGCTGTGTCTTCTACCTCAACTGGTAGAATCCCTTTGACGACCCTTCTGAGAACTCCTACCTAAGGAGCCACCGGACACTGTGGACAAGGCCTCTTCGCTTTTTTTGGTACCGGATTACGCATGGGTTTCGGGCGGGGCGATGCTTTGGGGGAAGTCCTTGTGTTCTTTGAAGGTATACATGCTCTTTAAACGTTACACCCTACGAACCACGAGGTGCGAGACCCTAACCCCCGAACCCGAATCTTTGAACCCCCAAGTCTCCGAAGGCCAAACCGACACCGTACCTTAAGCTGATGGAAAAGAGCCCTCGAAGAGAGCCTGCACCTTAAGCCTCTCAAGGAGGAGGAGAGGCCGGAGCAAGGTCCGGAGACTGACGAGAAGGAGATATCCAAGGATCGGTCTTCGGGGTCTTTTTTGACGGGGTGAACTGAACTTCACCTAAACCAAGCATGCTACAAAAATGGCAGGGAGCGGCACTTTTGCAAGAGGAGTAAGGGTTCTGGCTCGTCCTGAAAAGCCTGGTGTCTGCCACCGCGCTACACACAAACACATGCAGCTTCTGGATGTCGGCGGCCTCTTTTGTAGAGCATTGCATCCTACAGCCGTGGAATGAGCAACGCACTGCGGCCGTCCCTAAACCCTAAACCCTAAACCCTAAACCCTAATCGGAAACTCGGAAGCAGTCGACGCTGAGCTCTCCACGGTCTTTCCGACGTCTTGTCAGTTCTCTTTCAGGGTGCCAGGCCGCAAGTGCCATAAACCACCAAACCCCTAAACCCCTAAACCCTAAACCCCTAAACCCCTAAACCCTGAACCCGAAACCCTAAACCCCCAAAACTCCAAAACCCCTAAACTCCCCTAAACCCCTAAACCCTGAACCCGAAGCCCTAAAGCCCTAAAGCCCTAAACCCCTAAACTCTAAACCCAAGTGCTCATCTAGGGATATCCCAGGCCCGTGCCCTCAAAAGACCTCCGGAACTCCTCCGCCGATTTAGTTTGCCAGGCCCGAAACCGAAGCCTTGACCCTGAAACCCTCACTAAACCCCTAAACCCCAAATCCTAACCCTTAACCCCTAAGCCCCTTAACCCCTAAGCCCCAAAGACCCTAAACTCCTAAGCCCCCAAAGCCCTATAAACCTTAAACCCCTTGACCCGGAACACCTCGTCGGCCTCCCCAAAGCACCAAAAACGCCCAGCGGCTTGAGCTGGAGACTCCAAAGCCGCCAAAAAAAGCGCACCAGAGATGCCAAAAACATACTTAAGGCATTAAGGTTCAAGTATCATTGCTATATAGGTATTCTTGGGTTTGGGGCTTTAGGGTTCAGGGCTTAGGTGCCTGGAGCCCGAAATTTACAGAGGGATTTCCTCATCTTTCTCGCGGAAGGGCTTGCAAAAGTCAACGTGCCCCGCAGGATTCGGAGAAGACCGAGAGCCTGGTCTCGCCCTGTCAGGATTCGAAGGAGGCGAAGTGGGTCCTAAACCCTAATAAACCCTAATAAACCCTAATCAACCCTAATAAACCCTAATAAACCCTAATAAACCCTAATAAACCCTAGTAAACCCTAGTAAACCCTAGTAAACCCCAATAAACCCTAATAAACCCTAAACCTCTGGTGATGCGAACTCAGGCAGGGTTCGGCGGCCATTTTTTTCCATGTTATCGTCCGCCTTTCCCTAAAGAGTTTAAGGGTTTTCAGGGTTCTGGGTTCTGGGTTTAGGGTTTAGGGTTTAGGGTTTAGGGTTTAGCCTTGAGGTTGCGCGCTTCGGACTTGGGGTATGCATCCAGATTTCAGCCCAGCCCAAACCCGAGTTTCATGGTTTGTTTTGCTCGGTGTAGGGTTTAGGGTTTAGGGGGCATAAATCTCAAAAAGCATTCTTATAAGCCACCTAGAAGAATCCTAAACCCTAAACCTATTATAGGAGTTTGTTTTAAGGGCTAAGTACACATAGGTAGCTGTATTGCGCAGGAGCCGTCTGAGCAAGCCCATGCCGAGGAGGCCATACTGACGGCCGGGATCTCGGATGGTTCCTGCAACGGCGCATTTGGTTTTCCAAGCTTGGCCCGCCCTAAACCCTAGTTTACGTTTGGGGCTTGGGGTTTAGCGTTTAGGGTTTAGGGTTTAGGGTTTAGGGCTTTGATGAATTTTTGTGGTTACAGGAGACTAAGGAATGACATCTTTATTTTATACGTAGATTGTAGATGAGGTGGTTATATATGGAGATAAAGCAAGATATGTATCGCATGGTGTGCAAAGCAAACGTGATAATGTTCCGGGTACTTGGGAAGGAATTAGGAGAGTTTGGTACGTAGGCTACAAGTAGAGTTATGAGTGAATGCGGGTACGTAGATCTCCACCTTTCAGCTACTTGCTAAGTCCCATGTCCGGGTAAGCCTCAGAAAGCCCAATCAAGTTGACGACATGCAAAGGGCCCTGAACTTTAGCCCAGCTTCGACACTAAACGCCAAAGCGGGTTTGGGGTTCAGGCGAAACCCGAAGCCCCAAATCCTATACCCTAAACCCTAAACCCTAAACCCCAAACCCCAAACCCTAAACCCCTAAACCCCTAAACCCCTAGACCTCTAAACCCCTCAGCTCCTCAGCCCGAAACCGTCCCTGGCCAAGGACGACAAGCTCTGCGAGAGCATCCAACCGGAGCCTCCCCGCGTCGAGGAGCAGGTGCTGTCTGCTGGTTATCTTCTTTCTGGGTTCAGGGTCCCCTAAACCGTAAACCCTCAACCCTAAACCCTAAACCCTAAACCCTGATCCCTGAACCCTAAACCCTAAACCCTAAACCCTGCCTGTAGGTTCCAAAGACTAAGAATGCACTTGAGACTTGAGGCTTTCCTTGTTCTGTTCTTCCTTAGTTCCCCTTGGAATGGTCGGGTTTTTTTTACCCTAAACCCTAAACCCTAAACCCTAAACCCTAAACCCTAAACCCTAAACCCTGAACCCTGAACCCTGAACCCTAAACCCGAAACCCTAAACCCTAAACCAGCGCAAGTGCCCTGGCTTCTTCCGGGCCAGGCGTCCGAGCCTGAAGCTGACGGCGAAGCGAAGGAAGAAGAGGCTCCGAGTGGGAACGAGGCGGCGCGTTTGCTGCCCATGCCGTCGCGAGGGTCTGGCTCTGGGCGAACAGGGCTTAGGGGTTTAGGGGTTTAGGGGTTTAGGGTTTAGGGTTTAGGGTTTAGGGTCTTGGTGTACTAGGGCATGAGGGTAGTGGGGGTTTAAACCCTAAGCCCGGAACCCAAAAGCCCTGAACCCCTGAAGCCCGACCCCGAAGGAGATTTCGCCTTTCCTTTCTTTTTGGTAGAACCCTTCAACCCTTCAAGACCCGTTTACAAGGCTGTTTATGGGTTTTTGCTGAACCCCAGAAGTTTATAGTTTCTGGGTTTTTGGACCTGAACCCCTTAACCCTAAACCCTTGCACTCGCCTTTCCTTTCGCCCGAGGATGATGTTTCGGAGCCTGAGCTTCTGGAGTCTGAAGAAGAGGCAGCCGCAGGGAGGGCGCACGATCAGATGGTCCTCAGGGTTGCTAAAGTCTTGCGTAGACATGGGTTTTTACAGGGCTCATGGGGTCTTTCTACGGTGTTTCTGGGTGTTTGTTGGGCTTCATAAGGGTTTTGCAGAGTTCCTATACAGGATTTCTTTTGCAGAGCTTCTCTAGAAATCCTGAAGGGCATTTTGAGGGATCTACAAGTTGTTCGAGTGATTCGGATTGAGTGCGTTTAGAGGTCTGAGCTCATGTTCGGGCCTGAGCATGTGAACGTGCTTCGACTGGCGGCATGAAATGAAAAAACAAAACGCACAGGAGCCGTAAACACCAACTTAGTTGCAACGGTCATGGACCTGCACACTGCCCTCAAAGCATATCTACACCTTGATTCTGCTTGATGCCCTGCTTGCAGGAAGACACTGAGGAAGAAGAGTCGGAAGAGATGGGAGAGCCTGCCACGGTTGAAGAGGAGGAGGAGGAGCAGCAGGAGGAGGTGGAAATTCAGATGTTGTGCTAAACCCCAAACTCTGACCCTAGACCCTAAGCCATGAACCCTAAACCCTAAACCCTAAACCCTAAAGCCTAAACCCGAAACCCTAAACCCTAAACTCTAAACCGTGAATCTCTTCCCTTGAGATCCAGCCTCGTTGTGTTTTCAGACTTCTGCTCTCGATAATGGAGATGACAATGTCTCCAAAGCCTGGGTTTCACGATTGTGTTCAGGTTTTTTCAATGGTCAGGCAGGGGTTTAGGGTTTAGGGTTTAGTTTATGGCCTAGTTTAAGGTTTAGTTTGGGGTTTAGGGTGTAGGGTTCGGTTTAATGCAGGGCAGAGGGTTTAGGGTTCAAGATTTGGGGATGTACAGGGTTGAGGGTGGCTTGAACTAGGGATTCATGTCCCTGACTGCCTCCGCGCTCTCAGAAACTGTTGTAGAAGTTCGGTTCTTGCTGTCTTCGCAGGGCTACTGCCAAGCGCGCTGGAGAGAATATAGAGGCCTTAATAATTAGAATAGGGTTTGGGGGTGTGATCGGACAAGATGTCTGTACGGGCATGTTTGGGGGTCTATAACACTATAATTACAATAAGGAACCCCCCCAACCCTATTCCATTATAAGGCCCCTATATTAAGCCCTTTGAAGGTGGAAGTGCTTCAGCCCGAAAACTTCGATTCAGCCTCGGTGCAAGTGGAAGAGCCCGAGGACAGTGGGTGCTTTGCCTCGGTTGCGTTTAGGGTTTTAGGTTTGGGTTTAGGGTTTAGGGTTTAGGGTTTAGGGTTTAGGGTTTAGGGTTTAGGGTTTAGGGTTTAGGGCGGGCATGTAGAACAATTAGTTGGAAAGTAATCTTGGTGATTTTGCAATCTTGCAAACTTGGTCAATCTTGGTGGGAAAACCAAGATTGCCAGCAATCGTGCCATCTTGGTCATCTTGGCCATCTTGCCCCAGTTGCCCCACCCGGCCCACTTGCTCGCCGACTAGTTTACCATTTGGGACCAAGATTGCAAGATTGCTGGCAATCTTGCTCCCCCCCAAGTGGGGCAAGTGGGGCAAGATTGTTGGTAATCTTGCAAAAATAATTGTTCTAGATTCGCGGCACACTGTAACATTGGAAGTTCTCTACATTAGGGTCCCTTTTTAGGTGCGCAAGGTGGTACAGCACTTCTTGAACTGCCCATACAGGGGCTTAATGATTGTAGAGCTTGGAGGTATGTCATAATATAGTTATATAGGTAGTTCTCTAAAGTAGGGTCCCTTTTGGGGTCCTTTTTGTCAGGGTCCCGTACTGTATTAGGGACCTAAACAGAGACCCTAATTTAGAAAACTACCCATATCGGACTACCAGGGTTTAGGGTTTAGGGTTTAGGGTTTAGGGTATATAGATCTTCAGACCTCCCTAAGCCCTAAACCCTATAGTAAATCCCAAACAGTTCGAAACCAGATTAAGGACGATTAGTCTTGGGATTCCCTATACAATACTCTTCAGGCTTAAGGATTGAGGCTATTGGGTTTCCGACTTTTGGGCTTCTACCCTAAACCCTAAACCCTAAACCCTAAACCCTAAACCCTAAACCCTAAACCCTAAACCCTAAACCCTGAACCCTCAATCCCTAGACCCTTCAGCCCCCAAACTCGAAACCCTTC